TGGTTTGTTTTGGTGTGTGGGTTCCTACCCAAAAGCAGTCCTGCTCCTAGAGAAGCCTGGCTGCCAGGAAAACAGTATTAAATAAATGAACTTCTGCAAGCTGGGGGTTTGCTTGGATGGATCCTGAGGATCCAGAAGGTTGGGATGCCACACTTCTGCCTCCCAGGTGTCCCTCTCTCCTTGTTACCTCCCCACTCCTCCAGGAGATTCTGTGAGGTGAATCTGGCACTTTCCTGGGCCCCTCTCCATCTCCCAGGTGTGCTTTGACAAGAGGGCCTGGTTTGTCCTATGTTTTTGACATGCACTTTTAAAGAATAGGAGTACTTGTGGCACCTTAGAGACTAACCAATTTATTTGAGCATGAGCTTTCGTGAGCTGATGAAGTGAGCTGTAGCTCACGAAAGCTCATGCTCAAATAAATTGGTTAGTCTCTAAGGTGCCACAAGTACTCCTTTTCTTTTTGCGAATACAGACTAACACGGCTGTTCCTCTGAAACCTTTTAAAGAATGACGTTCAGGATGGTACATTTATATTTTTGGGAAGCTTCTAATAGAGGTCTCCATCCCTTTGTATCTAGATCACCTGAGCCTCCTTTTACTTGAAGATAATGTAGACTACACGAAGAAGTGATTAAAAACAGCTCAGAGTTACTCCAGGGATTCATTTGCTAGCTACACAGAACTGTAAGCATGCTTCACACATGTTCAGTTACATTTAATCACATTCTAGTTTGGAGATTAAGTTACACCCCCACACCCCGCAGCAACAGTTGCTATGCAGGACAAGATAAACACCTGGGCAGGCATTGAGAGCAATATGCTATGTACTCTCCCTACTGAATTTCCTCTGTATTATATAAAGACATCAGGAATGTCTCTGAAGACCTGGTATTTTGGTGATTTGTTTTAGAAGTCTGGTGCTCCTGCTGCAACTTAGCAGAGATTTGCCACTGACTTCAGTAGACCTGACTCAGGTTCGTTACTTGTACCAAGATAACAAAACTAATATTATTAGGAAATTAGCGATTGCACATGAAAGGGTTCCTTTAGGAATCCTTGTGGCTGAAACAATAGGATTGATAACTAGAGTTCTTGAACAACCCAAGCTGCAGAGGCCAGCAGGAAAATGGCTTATTGATATAGTAGATTTCAGAGTAACAGCTGTGTTAGTCTGTATTCGCAAAAAGAAAAGGAATACTTGTAGCACCTTAGAGACAAATAAATTGGTTAGTCTCTAAGGTGCCACAAGTACTCCTTTTCTTTTTGATATAGTAGATGGCACTCGTAACATGCAGGCAGCCATAACTTCTCAGCAGTCACAGATTATTTGTGTGCTGGGGATAGCACTGGAGGGGACTACGGGTGAGGCTTTAACTGAGGATGAGGTCAGGGGGCAAGATACTTTTCCAAGTTCCACCCAGAATTTCTGTAGGAGTTGGGCTCATCAGGCTCTCTCAGGGGTCCCTGCACACTGTAAAGGAGAGAAGTGGTGTAAGTTACTGAATAGTGCCGACTCTGGGACAGATTGCCAGCTGTTGTAAATTTGTGCAGCTCTATAGACTTCAAGAGCTTGACTTCTTCAAGCTGTAGCTACACTGATATACTCCAGTTGACAATCTGATCTAACCCAGAGGCTGCACTCTGCAGTAACATACATCACTTCTCTCATCGGCACACTGCACAGCGCCCACTTGTGCTGGCTTCCACTGGTTGTGGAAGTGAATCTAGCAAAACTTACTGTCCTCCTTAACCTTTCCCACCACGAGGGGCAGGAGGAAGGGGGGAGAAAGAAGAGAAGCAAGCTTTAAAATTGTACTGGGAATTCTTTGAAACATAACAAGGAACAAGTATTGTGTAATGTTTTGCATCATACTGAAACATTTGGAAAATATAAAAAGTGCATTTTTCAACTTTTCTGCTCAAGGCCAGTATATCACATCTGAAAGGCTATATTTCACTCATTGGGAAAAACAGTTGAATAACTGAATGTACCACAAATATGGTAGAATTTGTTTTGATCACTGTTTACAATTATGCTGTTGCTTAAATCTTCTGTCCATAAAGTCTGTGCCATTCATGCTGATGTTGATGTGTTTTCTCTTGATTATAATGATCAGTGCAATTTTAGGGTGTAAGGATCAGGCTGGAAGTGATTTTCTTGGCTATATTCCAGACAGGAAGTAATTTTGCATCTTTCTAAATGCGACTTAACTGCATGTATGAAATTTAATAGCTTGGGGGGGGTGGGTAACTTGTTAGACCCAACTATAATTTGATTGTCCTGCCCTGATAATCACACTAGAGTTCACTCTTATCACCACAAGGAGGAGATTCTACCTTTCTGCAAATATCTGGTTTGGTGAGCTCAGTGTTCCACGTCAGTTGGATGTAATCATAAGAAGAGGCTGTCCAGACTAATCACTGGAACTAAATTCCACTGGATAAATTACTCATGGGATGCTAATGTTAATCTTCTATTAATTATATAAGGTCAGTACCCCTCCCACAAAGAGCCTAAAATTTAAAAATAGTTGCAATGCTATAACTTCCTTAAGTTTGTCCAATTTTAAATTGTAAAAAATATGTAACTGGCAGAGTCAAGAGAAAATTCATGAATTATTTCTTAAATATATATCTTTAACTCCTTCATATTTTTTTCAAAAAAAAATTGTTTTAATTCCCATGACCACATCCCCTGCTCTCTCAGTAAATATGAGGAGAGATTAATAAGACTGGGACTTTTCAGCTTGGAAAAGAGATGACTAAGGGGGAATATGACAGAGGTCTATAAAATCATGAATGGTGGAGAACATGCATAAGGAAGTATTATTTACTCCTCACAACACAAGAAACAGGGGTCATGCAATGAAATTAATAGGCAGCAGATTTAAAAACAAACAAAAGGAAGTATTTCTTCACATGATGCACAGTCAACCTGTGGAACTCTTTGCCAGAGGATGTTGTGAAGGCCAAGATTATAACAGGGTTCAAAAAAGAGCTAGATAAGTTCATGGAAGACAGGTCCATCAATGGCTATTAGCCAGGGTGGGGAGGGATGCAAAACCATGCTCTGAAGCATCCCTAGCCTCTGTTTGCCAGAAGCTGGGAATGGGTGACAGGAGATGGATCATTTGATAATTACCTGTCCTGTTCATTCCCTCTGAAGCAGCTGGCATTGGCCACTCTCGGAAGACAGGATATTGGGCTAGATGGACCTTTGGTCTGACCCAGTATGGCCGTTCTTCTATTCTAATAATATAAAAAGAGAATGCAGAAATTTTACTCCAGGAGCTGGTTAATGGCACTGAATCCTAAGTGGAGGAGTTGTCTCTCTCTGACCCAGAGTCAGGCACCTAACTCCCTGTGAAGGGTGGGGCTCAGGCTCTGATTGTTATTTGAGAATTTTTAAAAGTTTATCTTGATGTAACATTTTAATTTATAAATGGAAAGATGAAAAAGGGATGGACGGAGTGTGTGAAAGAGGGAGAAAGTTTAGTTAGCTGGAATTAGTATCAGGATGGAGTGTTTATCCAAACTTGGCTACCCATCACCATCATTTTCCCCCTGTCCCCTTTGTGTGCTGAGTTGTCACCTAACCAAATCCAGCAGATCAGTCAGAAAAGATTAAGCTGAAAAGCCTCACTGGTTTATGGTATCTTTTAGAAGGTTTCTGGGATCTCATCTACTGCTGAGGTCAAAATTCCTGGTTTAAATTCCTTGGCTCTTTCCCAGTCCCTTTATTTTGAACAAGTGATAAAAGAAAGTAAGTCATTTAAGCAGGCCAGGCCTTTCAGCTGCTGCATCTATTTTTCACAGTGACAAAGGACAGTGTGTCTGTCTGTGTAGTGACTTTTGTTGATTTGTGTCATAACTATGTAATTGATAGGTTTATCATCTGCAAATAAATAAAGAACCACCTCAGAGTTACGAACATATCAGCTATGGATGGAGTAACTCTGAACAAAATGTTATGGTTGTTCTTTCAAAAGTCTACAACTGAACATTGACTTAATACAGCTTTGGAACTTTACTATGTGGAAGAAAAATGCTGCTTTCCATTTTTTTTTTTTTTTTAGTAGTTTACATAGAACACAGAACTGTCCTGTATTTGTCTTTTTTCCCCTTTCAATTCCAAATGAGGTGTGTAGTTGGACCAGTCAGTTCGTAACTCAGATTCTACTGTAGGCAGGTAAATTATGCCAGCTTTACTTTTCCCATTGTAATACTTACTATGGAGATCAGAATGCTTTGATAAGTTGTTGTGACTTAGTTACCAGCTTTAGGCACTGCAGTATTAAAATATAGCAAAAATATTTTGTCCAGCTTGTTCAGTTACTTGGAAAATGAAGCATTAACATGTTAAGGAATGTGAACAACCTTTAATACTGAAACAAAAATTTCAAGATCTACAGGAAATTTTCCTTCTGGAAGAGGCTTGCTGCAGAAAACAAGGACAAGAAAGAAACTTTTACCATTTTCCCACCTACTTATTGGGTAGTTAAAACACACACACACACATACACACACCCACACCCACCACTGCCCAGATTCTAAACCTAAAGACTCTAGGGGCATGGCTACACTTGCAGATGCAGAGCACTTTGAGTTAAACCAGCCTTCGTGGAGTGCAATAGGGAAAGTGCTGCAGTCTGTCCACACTGACAGCTTCAAGCACACTGCCGTGGCCACATTTGTGGCACTTGCAGCGGCATTGGGAGCGGAGCATTATGGGCAGCTATCCCAACATGCAAGTGGCTGCAACTTGCTTTTCAAATGGGGGTTGGGTGGGGTGGAGTGGAGCGTGACAGGGAGCGTGTTGTGTGTATGTGGGGGGAGAGAGAGTGGGTCTTTGGGGGGCTGTCTTGTAAGTTCAAATTTGGATTCTAAAACCTGTTTTAAATGAAGCAACAAATAAGCATTGCTGAACTGCAGTAGAAGTGGACAAGGTCAGCACAAGCCAAGGCTGCTTTAAAAAAAAAACAAACAAAAAAACCCAAATATATAATCAGTCAAAATCTGCATTATTTCATTTTTAAGTTGGTTACATTAGTCAATTTTTGTATACAACCTCTGCAGCATGACTGGTAGGGGCATGTGTGAAAAATTTCATTAAAAATACAAGATGCAAATCATTAGAATAAGATGGGTCTGCAAATTCTATTGAGCTGTTTCAACTACATCTGACTCTATGAAAAAGAAACAGAAAGGAGGGAGGGAGAGAGAGAGAAATGAGAAGTGCCAGTGCTTCCTTCAAAAGAGCTGATTTGAGCAGAAACTAGAAAGGGAGGCTGAGATTACCTAACTAGAAGAAAAACAAAAGACAAAACTGATCACTTACAAAAATGGAAAAGGGGAATAGAATAGACTGTTCTGCATTTGATGTAGTTTTAAACTAAAACGTAAAGTTTGATCTTCAGGAAAATGAAACCAACTGCATACTCCTTCAATCCCACCATGGATTGTTAAAGGCATATCCACAATTTAGACTTTCACAATAAAATAGTTTCCTATCCTTTCTTACATGCTTTGAGCAGTGAATAACGTTGATATTTAAAGTATCATCATTGGCACCTGAATTAACATCCACTAAAATGAAGGGGGCAGTTCACAGCTCTCAGGGCTGTTATTTCAGGCTCTCTGCAAATTCAGTCAGATACTGCTACATCAGTTACACTTGGGTCATAGTTTGAAGATTTTCTTTGCAACCGTAACAGTGTTAGCTTTCATTTGAAAATGAAAAGTGAGACTTTAGGGAACAACTGAGAGGTCTGTTCATGCCCTTCCAGCTAGTCTTTTGTATCGTCTCCCAAAGTGTGGGACACAGCCCTAGGGAACACAATTTAAAGTAACAGAATACCCATTCAAATTACAGTTCATATATTTTTCTTTGACTCCAGACATGAACTTAATTCTTTAAGGAAAAGAACTCTTAAGGCAAAAATACTTCTGTGACAACAGTACAATAAAGTGTTTTAAGACAACTACATAAAGTAACAAAGGCCAAAAAGCAGGCAGAAAACAGATCATAAGACAATAAACATATAGTAAATATTAAAGCAAACCGTTAAAACACTATGAAGATCTGATGGTTGTTTCAATACATATGGTCATTTCTGATCTTGTTAAAGTTATGTAACATATCGGCAATTTCCAGCCTGTGGTTTGAAAATATGAATAGTGTTCATTTGTTTATCTTTTTAAAGACACAAGGTAGGTGAGGTAATATCTTTTATTGAATCAACTTCTGTTGGTGAAAAAGAAGCTTTTGACCTACACAGAGCTCTTCTTCAGGTCTGGGTAAGGTACACAAAGCATCACAGACAAATACAAACAGTGGAACAGATAAGGGGTTAACACGTTCAGCAAGAGACCATTCAAGTTGAAGTGGGCAGTTAATATCTCTACGGTTGTAGGACAAAGGAGGGTGAGTGGGATACAGCTTGTTGTAATGAGCCATAAATCCAGCATTTTTATTACATCCATTATTTTTGATGTCTAGAAGAGTTATGAATTTAAGTTCCCAGGCTTGTCTTTTGAAGGTGTTGTGAAGGTTTCCTTTGAGGACAAGAACTGAGAGGTCAGATATGGAATGATCATTTTGTGAGAAGTGTTCGCCCACAGCTGATATGTTGTTTTTGTGTCTCTCATATTTCTGTGAGAGTTCATTCAGGAGCATAGTGATGGTCTCATTTCACTCACCTATTTGTTCATGGGCTGTTTAAAGGACTGAATGAGGAACACCACATGTTGAGATAGGCATGTATACGGCCCATGGATTGAAAGGTGTATTGATCATTGTAGCAGTGGAGATAGGTTTCCAGGTTTTTCCATCTGTTGCTCTGGCAAGGGCTGGTGCCACTTTGAGTAGGTGTGTTCTGATCTGTGGGAAGCTTGTTTCTCATAAGCTTGGCGAGGTTGCAGGGACCACCACAGCGACAACAATACTGCAAAAAATGGAAGATATCGAATTTTGCTGGCTTTTTAAAAACAGTTTGAAAAGGTGTAACATATTTTGAATGAGTCACTTCCTGATCAGTAAACACTGAAAATACTAAAAACACCCTCCCACAGGTGTGTCTATTATCGTTTTAAAAATATATATATTCTTTTCAATGTGTCTATCTGGAAGAAAACAGGTCTAAGGACAATATTTTGGGTGAAATATTGAAATCTTTTGATCTAAAAGCTCAACAGGAGTTATACAGGAAGTTTGTGGATGAAATTTAGATCCTCTATATTTTCTTGTAGGTAGATGTAACATGTATGTAATATAAAAGATATGGGCAGCTGGGGAGTGAAAGTAAAGTGAAAAAAATGTTGACCATGAATTAGTCAGAAATTGATGAAGCAGGGAGGGAAGATAGGGTACGGCATTCATGTTTATCAATCTGATCAAGTCATCTTTTTTAAGGATTATTCTCATGTTTATATAAAGCATTTGATTGCTCTTAAATAGCCTTGAGAAATATAGTATTTAGATGGTCAGTTTCCCTACATAATACCGTTCTGTGTGGTTCCTGAGAGGCAGGAATAGACCAACATGGGGCAATGAAGCAAGTAATTATCCCTGGCTCTGCTACAGACTCATTAGGTGCCTGATCCTGCACCACTGAAGTAAATAAGGGCTTTACCTACCCAAAGAGAGAAGTAGTGATCATCACACAATGGCAGCCAGCATAGCCTGTCAGGCGCGGACAGGAGCGCACACTGCTCACAGTGGAAGGGTGGCAAAGCCACGGCACCCTGCAACATGCGCTTGTGGAAACCAACAGGAGAAATTCAGGTTGAGCAACCTCTTCGTGGTCCAAAAGCTACAATCTGACCCTCACTGTCTGTGCAGCACTTTGCAGATTTAAAGTGCTGGATGAGCAATGGATTTATAATTCACTAGGGTAACATGCATTTTACATTCCTCGGTTCCTTATTTTGTAAGCTATACACAAATATAACTGGAAAAAGCAACTTTATTTGGAACCTAAACCTTCCAGGTCCTGAATACCTGAACAGGGCACCCATCACCTCCCAGGAGGGGTTCAGCATCGTGCAAGACAGAGCGGTTTGTCTTCTGTGCAAAGCTCAATTGTTCCAGATTCTGGAGCAGATTTATACTTGCCTCCACCGTTTGCAGATTAATCACTATATTCTACTTTTCTTTTCAGCACAGATACTTCAAGGATATGACTAGTCTGACTGAGCAGCATGTGAGACGTGCCATTTCTGATGGCAGGACCTCACCACATACCTCAAAGAGAGACAGTACCAACAGGAAATTTTCTGTGCTTGCTTACGCATTGCCGCATACTGAGGATGCAGGAAATATATTTGCAAAATTCAGGTTTATTTAGTGACTGTACTCCACATAACTAGTGGCTTAGAGATCTACAAAAAAAATCTTATTGATTTGGGAGTACAAAGTATACCGAGGGAAAAAAGGTTGCACAAATAACACATGAAGTACATTGTCCTTCCCATCTAGAAAGCTAGGAGAAAATGGTATTTGTATCCTTTGGGGATTCTGAACTCTTACATTATTACATTCTCACTTTTACCGAGTAAGGAAGCAATAAGATCAAGGCCCCACATCATTCAGGGAAGAGTGGCACTGCGATGCCAGAACACCACCACCATGCTTTGTATTCTCTGCTCAGCACCATGCAAGACAACTGCAGAAGGGCCTAGAAGGTGCAAGGGGTCAGAAGGGAAGTGACCCAGGGAGGACAGACAGATGAGGGGAGAGAAGGAGGGCGGAGAGGCTGCCACTAGAGGGTCCCTGGGTTGGGACCCAGAGCAATGGGCGGGCCTGGGTCCCCTCCTTGTACAGCACCTGGATGTGGAAGTGTGGCCAAGATAGACTGCAGCCGGCCCTTGAGCAGAGGGGCTAGACCTTTGGGGGTTGTGGTTGGCCACTGTGGCAGGAGCGAACTGGAAAGACTGCTGTTAACCCCTTCTCTCCCTCCTCCCCGCCCCCCGGAAGGGGGTGAGGATGGACTATGGGGCACTGTCGGAGGGTAGTGACCAGGAGTGGATGTTGCCGAGGAGGGAGCAACACAGGTCTGGATACCAACGGGGGAGCAGATGATGAATGGGACACCGCTGGCAGAGGGTGCCCTGCAGAGGACAGAGCTAATTCCCAGACATGCCAGCGGGAGGCACTGCAGTGGGGAGTCCCAACCCTGTTACACAGTGCTTGCCTGGAAACAAAGGATATCCAAACAATAGCCCATCATTTTGTTAAGGGGGGCGGTCTCACTTAGCCTGGGACTAACCTAGTATTTACAGCTCTAACCATAGAAATTCTTCATAACTTCTACATCCAGAGAATGAGTGCTAGACTGCTGCTATAAATGGGGAGGAGGGAATATCAAACCTCTTACAAAGCAACAGTGCATACCTGAGATTATACACTCTTCTGCCAGAGACCTATTACCCTCACCTCAAAATCTTCTCACCCTTCTCCTCACAACAGGAGATAAAGTACATCAAAATAATAGGGCTAGCTAATCAATTTTAGTGGCCACAATGGTTGTCTCAGATCATGTGGTGATGCAACATTACATCATGTTGTAGTGATGAGATTCACTGGGGGGGGGGAGGGCAGGCAGGGGGAAGAAGAGAAATGAAAGGAGTCCGTGTCCCCATGGGCTTATCTCTCACCACACCAAAGTCTCAACTTCCCTTTCCTGAGTTATATATGTGGTCTCAGTAGTACTTCTCATTGAGAAATACATATTACTATGGCATGGATCAGAAATTTAGCTGTCCCTGAAAAAAGATATAAAGGAATATTAATACCATAAAATTTGGAGTGAGAAGACAGTTTCACTTTGAAAATGGTTATTTTTTGTTTTGTGCACAGCATTATTCCTGAAATGTATTACAATAAATAAGCATGAAAGACCAGATTTTGATCTCAGTCACACCATCAACTGCAAAATATTTTTACCCAAATTGACTTTTCCCCTCTCACATCTCCTTTGTCTACCTTATCAGTGTATCTGAAACACTGCCAAAATGCAAAGTTAGTCTGCCTCCATTTCTACTAAAGTCTTTACTCTTCATGCCTTAATCTCTGTTTGTCTTGACTATATTTTCTTCTTTCATGGTGTTCCTAAATCCCCACTAGCTAAACCTCAGAGGATCCAGAATGCTGCAACCATATTACACTCTTCCTCCAGGCATCAGGACTGTATCACCCTTATCTTCAGATAACTTCACTGGCATCCAGCTGGCTACAGATAGAATTCACAATTGCCCTCCTGCTTTTCAAAAGTCTATAAACTTGCTCCACCTCCATCCCTGACCTAATATTCACTTACCCCCTTTCCTCTTCATTTAAATCCTCCAAAGTTGATCTCCTTTTTGCCTTCTCCTCATGACTCTCCATATTTAGAGCTTAACATAATGAGAACACTTCACATAGTTCAATACGCTCTGGGCCAGATCCTCATCTGGGCTGAGTTTACACTCAGTCCAGCTGAAGACAGCAGGAGATAGGGAGAAGTAACTTTCAGTTCCCCTGATCCTGGGCCAGGTGGAGACTGAAATAACCCAATAGAATTTAGAGAAGAGGTTCTCAAACTGGGCGGGGGGGGGCATGAGAACTTTTAGTGCGGGGACTTACTGTGCACATTTTACCCACAGCAATGAATAACTAGCACAGCAGATTCCTCCAGACATCTCAGGTCCTCAGAGGGCACTGTACATTTGACTCCAGAGGGCGCTGTGCATTTTGACAGATTTCTGTTAAGCTTGCCTAGCATTATAATGCCATCTACACATTAATCCATATGTTAAGACGTGCACATTTAATAGGAAGCATTAACAACTTAACAATAGTTTTGCTTTTGCTATTACAATGGATCGTTGGCTCAAAGAAAAAAAAAGTGAAAATCAAAGAAGCCAAAACTGATTCAAGTAAAGCACCGCAGCATATATTGGTATGGGTATATGTACTTGTGCGGTGGGAAGTGGGGGCATAAACTACTACAGACACAAAAAAGGGGGCACAATCAAATAAGTTTGAGAACCACTGACTTGGAGCATCTTAGTGACCACGCTAAGTGACACCAACTAGAGCAATTAGAGGATTGGGCCAAAAGAAATCTGATGAGGTTCAACAAGGACAAGTGCAGAGTCCTGCATTTAGGACGGAAGAATCCCATGCACCGCTACAGACTAGGGACCGAATGGCTAGGCAGCAGTTCTGCAGAAAAGGACCCAGGGGTGACAGTGGACGAGAAGCTGGATATGAGTCAACAGCGTGCCCTTGTTGCCAAGAAGGCCAATGGCATTTTGGAGTGTATAAGTAGGGGCATTGCCAGCAGATGGAGGGACGTGATCGTTCCCCTCTATTCGACATTGGTGAGGCCTCATCTGGAGTACTGTGTCCAGTTTTGGGCCCCACACTACAAGAAGGATGTGGAAAAATTGGAAAATGTCCAGCGGAGGGCAACAAAAATGATTAGGGGGCTGGAGCACATGATTTATGAGGAGAGGCTGAGGGAACTGAGATTGTTTAGTCTACGGAAGAGAAGAATGAGGGGGGATTTGATAGTTGCTTTCAACTACCTGAAAGGGGGTTCCAAAGAGGATGGATCTAGACTGTTCTCAGTGGTAGCAGATGACATAACGAGGAGTAATGGTCTCAAGTTGCAGTGGGGGAGGTTTAGGTTGGATATTAGGAAAAACTTTTTCACTAGGAGGGTGGTGAAACATTGGAATGCGTTACCTAGGGAGGTGGTGGAATCTCCTTCCTTAGAAGTTTTTAAGGTCAGGCTTGCCAAAGCCCTGGCTGGGAGGATTTAGTTGGGGATTGGTCCTGCTTTGAGCAGAGGGTTGGACTAGATGACCTCCTGAGGTCCCTTCCAACCCTGATATTCTATGATCCCCATAGGGGCCACTCTGATGGCTGAGAAATCAGGCAAAAAGTGGCACTCACCACCCT